AAGGGCTGGATTTGTATTTTTTCAATATCATGGAGAATACAACAAGTGGAGCTGGAACATGCAAAGGTCAGCAGGAGTACTATAGATTCTTAGGTGGAGAGGTGCCACGCTGGGAATTATGGTAGGGAGATCCTGTTGTTAGAATAGCCAAAACACATAAGAAGGCAGAGGGCTTACTCAGCTCGCCAAGTTTCACCTGTAACTAAAATATGGACTTTTGGGTAGAAAGAACTTTTAAAGACCAACTTTCTGGCAATGTCCGCTGAAAAGATTTCTTTGAGCAGGAGTGTAGATGAGTGTAGGATAAGCTTCCCCCAGTGTATCCTGACTGGCAGCCATTTTAAGGCCTCATGCACACTATAGCTCATAAAAGCTGTTTCTTTGAGCATTTGAGCTTTTTTTTCTCACTCCCTCTAAACTCCCCTCCCATTAACACGCATTAACGCAAGGTGCATTCCCCTGTCAATGCATTATAATGGCCAGTATTCTGTCCAATAGAATGAATTAAGCCAACAGGTGCGTATAAGGAGTGAGGCGTTGGAGTTGCACAGCCTAAGTTTTCTTCTATGTCTCACCACTGTTGACAGGACAGCACAGCAGGAAGATGACAGAAGAGAACTCTGTCCCATTCACTGGCAAGAAGTACATGCCAGGGACAGTGTGGGATGCTGGAGGTAACTAGCGGGACCAGTGGAAGGTAGAGAAAAAGAAAGAGCAGCCTACATGGACGAATGGGATGGCTCTTTGCTGGTTTAATGCCACTGCTGCTGCACATGGGTATGAGGCCATACAGTATATGACAAATATGGTGAATGCCCTGGAAGCCCAGGTGCTGCAAACAGCTACCCACAGACAGAAATGACTGTGAGCGGTGGTATGCGGCTATATGCCAGTACTTGCATAAACCCATGTACAGCATATAGATGTATCCCCCAAACGCAGAAAATCTGTTTTCGGAGAATACATCTCCATGCTATACACGGATTTCCATGGGGACTGTTATACTTATATGCAGCCATTCATTTCTATGAGCAGCTGTATGCAGCATCTGGGCTTCCAGGTTCAGATATATGCCTGTATTTACGCCGTACATGACCTCATACATCAATGTGCATTAGGCCTTTGGGTTACAAGGACTGTAGCAAATGTTGCTGTGTAGGCTCCCATTTTAGGCCCCTCCCACTGTTATTACAGTTTTTCCAGACCTATAAAGTGTTGCAGAGCACACAGCATGCCACCTTTTTTGTTGCCCAAGGTTGAATTCCCCTCCAGAAAAAAAATGATCCAATATCTGCTCCACCAATTCAGACTTAAATGACACCCAGCCTAATGTAGCCTATAAATTAGCACCCAGGTAATCATAGCTCATCCGCTGTAGTTCTCTGGACTACAGAAAGTGTTATGATCAACCAGGCCACTAGTGCCACCTCTACTTAAATGATTTCCAGCATAGTTACAGTAACAACTACATGGCCTAATGGTCATTATACTTAAATATGTTATTTGCTTTTATTTACATGATACAGGCAGAAAATGATGGCAATGTTGAGGCAAAGTGACTCCTGCTCCAATGATGTCACTGACTCTTTCATTACATACTCACTTTATTAAAAGGTATAATTTAAGTGACAGCATTCCACCTTATACATGAAAGTCTAGAAATACACACTAACTATAGAGTGTATTGATACATTTATTCCTAATATAATAACATATCTTTCCTCTCATGATCACTGTCACATAATCAGATGGGGTTGTAGGAAGTGAGGTTAGTTAACACGTCTAATTTTTCCCACGCAGATTGAAATCACAGACTGTAAACTTATAACACAGATGTCAAAAAAGAAGACGATTAAACAGTCATAAGAATATCAGTAGGAGAAAGCTCATGTTCCTCATCAATCAGCCTAATTTCAAAGATATCACATATAGTGCGAGCAAGCATATGTTCCTCATTAATCCGCCTGCTTCAAGAGATTATATATATATATTTAAATATATATAGGCTATAATGATCATCGTTTTCCACCATGATCATTATGTTCAGCGATGAGAGCCAATGCAATGGCAAATAACACTTACAGCCCATGCACACTAACAGGCACACTTTAAGGTGCTGGATTTTTTTTTTTTTTTTTTTTTTACTTTTTTAAACCTGATAGTTCAGTTAACAAGATGTGCAGCAGTGTGTTTCAGTGTATTATAGCATGACTACATGCATTGTGTAAAAATGCAACAAGTACTATGTTTATTTCAGCACACATCAGTGCAGCTCAATGAGCCTAATTGGGCTGGAGTGAATGAGCCCTTAGTAAATTCAGCTAATAGTTAGTCCACATAGTAAAATAATATTATGTCCAAATAGCATTACAATGTGCCATGAATGACTAGATAAAATTATTATAATTTTCAATGCTTTGTAGAAACAAAGTAAAGAAGCTTCCCTTGGGTGGATTCACATCTTTGTATTTTTGCTTGATGCATTTTCCATTGAATCAATGGAACGCTTTAAAGTGCATATCAATGTATATGTTAAGACGTGCATCAACACCCGCACTGTCACATCATAATGCATGCAGAGTACCATGATGTGTGTTAGCACATGTTGATGTGCTGTGATGACATGTCGTGCTGACCTCTGATACAATAGATTGAACCACTCACTGAAAATGTCTACTGATTTTAATGGAAAATGCATGGGGGGAAATGCATAGATGTGAGTCCTAGCAGCAATGTATCCTATTGTGGGAGTCTTTGAGAAGATAGAATAATTAGCTTTGGAATGTGTGGAAGGAGATCATTGATTATTTCATAGAGTTGGCTATATTCCATAATGAGTGTGCTAAATGAAAAGAGCCCCGTTACCCCTCAGCAGAGATTTTTGAGTACAATATCAGCATAAAACATCAGAGTAATGTTCCTAAGAGAACCTTTACTTACATTTCACCATCACCATGTAGACATCAATGGTGCAGACAGGTGGCTGAGGAAGCCTCTCTCCTTTTTCTAGAAGATCAGGGATTTCTCGAGTCGGAATTCCATCATAGGGTTTTCCTCCAAAGGTCATAAGTTCCCATATAGTGACACCTACAAGTAATAGAGGTGTGATATTACCCTATTATTGGAGGTTTTGCATGCAAATGTTTTTCTATTCAAGATATAAGAAAAAAAAAGACTACCAATATAACAGTGATAAAGTCAGCACTTTGAACTCCAACAGTAAGCCCTGACAAGCAACAGCAACAAAAGCCATCAGGGAGGATCAATGTGCCCCTTAGTCTGCACATCTGGGTTAAAAATGCTTACCAGCCCCTCTGCTTATAGAACAGTACAGTTCTATAAGCAGTTCTATAAAAGTGGTTCTAAGGATGTGTTCGAGTAACCATAAGTAAATTCAATCTATATGTACTTAGTATGTTTGCTGCAGTAAGAAAAGGGTTACCCGAGTGTGATCTGGGATCAAGAAACCCATAAAAAGTAGCATTTCTTAAATTGAATATTTGCTCTCTTTAATGCTTTCTTTGATGAACTATATTAAAAAGATCTTCTTGAATTGCGATGGTCAGTCTTTACTCCTGTTTAGCATTAAGTTCGTGAACGTGCTGAAAAAGGTTCATCTTGTGGCTGACAGTACAAGTACAGTACACTTGTTGAAAGTGTTATATTTTAACTTTTATCAAGTGTTCTTCATCTTTTGCTTGTTCTAAAATGAAATATGACCTACTCTGAATCTTGCAACCTAGCAGAAATCACCAGTTATCATGTGCCATAAAGACGATTTAAGATGATTTAGCAAGAACACTTGCCATAACTCCAAACATCACTCTGATGGGTGAACTTCCTGTAGTGAATACATTCCAGGGCCATCCACTTCACCGGCATCTAAATATAGAAGAATATAGTAAGCTTATAGAGAGAGAACTTTCTGAATGCAGTAACTGAAAGTAACTTTGGCATTTAGCAGAAAAATAACAGACTAGCACTTGAACTGGATTTTCTTTAACCACTTGCCCTCCGGAAGGATTTACCCCTTTCCTGACCAGGCCATTTTTTCATATTTGGCATTGCATTACTTTAACTTGTGCAGTCATGAAATGTATCCAAATGAAAAGTATATCCATCTTTTTCACACAAATAAAGCTTTCTTTTGGTGATATTTGATCACCTCTGGGTATTATTTTTTTTTGCGATATAAAAGAAAAAAATGTTTTTTTACTTTCTATTATAAAGCATATCTAATAGAAAAATTTAAAAAACTCAAATCTCTTCAGAAATTTTGGCCAAAATGTATTCTGCTACATGTCAAAAATCCCGATATGTATATATTGATTGCTTTGTGTGAAAGTTATAGCATCTACAAATTATGGAATATATAATGGAATTTTTATTTATTTATTTATTTTTATATACTACTAATGGTGGTGATCAGTGACCTATAACAGAACAATGATAGCACGGCAGGCAATCTGACACTGATTGATGCTGGGGGGAACTAACTGCCACTGACATCACCAGTGACACTAATGAAATGATCAGTGCTAATAAAATGCACTATCACTATACTAATGATACTATAATAGGATTAATACAGCTCTCAGTTTACATAAACTAATGCAGGCCATAGATAGGGAGAAAAACGGCAGATTTTCGGCCGATTAACGAACTATCGGTCGGTCTAAAAAACTTACCTGACCACCAATTATTACGAAAATCGGCCGATTAATGAGTAACCTATAACGGGAAATGATGTCATTTTGTGGCCTTTGTGATCCTTCTTCGGAAAACGATCGTTCGTTTTTGACCATCAATGAGGATAAAGTCGGGCGTTTTTCGAAAATTTTCCAACATCACCGATAATCTGAAAGTCCAAAATACACGAAAAACGGCCGACAAAATCGTCCACTAACGATAAGATAATCGGCCGGTTTTATTTTCGGACGAAAAATCGGCCGTTTTTCTCCCCATCTATGGCCTGCATAAGAGCATAAAAAATATTAATATTATTTAATATTATAGTGTATATATAGTATATTGCTTACCTTTCCCCCATCTGCATTGTATTCCTTTTCATCTCCCTCTAGAAGGCGGGCCAGTCCAAAGTCTGTGATCTTTACATGGTTAGGAGATTTGACCAACACATTCCGGGCTGCAAGGTCTCTATGCACTAAGCGGCGTTCCTCCAGGTACATCATACCCTGCCAAGCAAGAAAAGGCAAGAATGTAACTAAGAACCATCACAATTACCTTTAAAGGATTCTACAATGATAAAACAACGTCTATAAAAAAAAAAGAGCACAAAAGAACATAAAAAGACACTCTTGCAAAGCGTCTCCTCCATGTAGTAATATGAAGCTCCTAAGGTCAAGGAGCTGTAATGATAGTAAATATAGCTATTACACTCCAATGGTATAGCTGACATGGCAAACTACAATATGTGGCTAGGCATACTTTAGTCAACCACACTGTAAATAACTGCAGGACATAGTTCACCCTGTTATTAACAGCAGGTGTTGGCTGGGTATATAGGGGACCTTTTATGTTACTACAAGAAAGTCTGAATCATTTAATATAATGAGCTTGTTCATGGAAATCCCTTTTAACAAAATCCAATGTGCAGGTCTGCATTTGTAATCTATGGCAACCAGAGATTTGTCTTGATTTTTTAAACTGCATAATAAAGTAATCTCATTGTCTGCTTATGTTTACATTGCATTTTTCTTTTTCACCAGTGTTAATGAATACCTTCCATGATTTATTGCTGTCATAAAATGCAAAATCTGACAATTTCCTAATATTAGAATTCTGCTGTCGTACTCAGAAAGGGGTTACAGGAACTCCATTACACATACAGGGAAAAAAGTTAGTTGGACAGATTTACAACAACCATAGGAGAAGACTTGCTTCTATTGCCCATGGCAATCGAAAGGCAACAGTGTTGAAAAACTGCTAAGGAAAGGAAATTAAAAAAGCTGAAATAGTACTTCTTACCACCAGGTGGCAATTCCAAAATGTATTTCCAAATGATCTTTACAGTAGTAGGTTCTTTGTAGCCTACAACAGGACAAGATCCAACTTTGCTATGTAGTTTTAGGGCCTCATACCCACTGGGGGTCAAAAACACCACTTTTAAGGGCATTTGAAGTTTTTTTTCTGCCTCCAAATGCCACTCTGTGTTAGCCTATATGTCCATACACACTTAGACTTTTACAGGTGAATAGAGGCAGGGGCGTTAAGAGGCAGAAAAAAAAATCCAGAGCCAGCGCATTCAGGAGAGGAGAGTTTTGCTGCTAAAAATAGCCCAACAAGCCTAAATGTGTGTAAAAGTGTGCTAATGCTAGGCATGTTGAGCATTCATTCATTTTAATGGCCAGAATAAATTAATATCCTGGACAAATGAATGAATGCCCAAGTGTTTGACGTTCCTAAACACGCCTAAAGCTTTAAGCTTGTTTTTGATGCTGCTTTTCTCCTGCCAGGAGAAAGGTGTTTAGAAGCGCTGGGCAAGTGCCCAGTATTCATGCACTCTAAGTATACTATTGCCCCCTGATATTCTGTGCTCCTCACTGGAATTTAGCTTGGACCAGTTCCACTTCATACAAACAAAACAGACAAGTTTTTCATGACATTCACCCTGTTTCTAGAATTTGTCAATTAATAGACATGAAAAAGATTTCTGGCTGATATCATCTTGAAATAAACATCAAATAAGTCATTTTTAAATATAAAGCTTAAAGAAGCATTAAAGGAGAAGTATGACCAAAGCTTTTGGCCTACTTCTCCTATGGGTCACAGGAATGCACTTAGTTCTGCACTCCTGTGACCCTTTTCAGCCAACAGCAGGCTAAAGCCTGTTGGGGGCTGATTATTTTAATTGAAAAAAAAAAAAATCTAAGTACCTGAGACGGTCTAGGCTCTGTAGAGATCCCAAACCTAAAGTGTCACTAAACCCACATCATAAAAAACTATCAATACATGCGGTACTACATGCTGTTCACACTCACTCAGTCACTAAAGGAATTATTCTGTATTCTGCAAAAAAACTGGTTGATCCGATTGCTCTGTATCTCAACCTTCTGCCCACATTCCCAATTCAGCTAGGGATTTTGCAGCTGTGGTGACAACTCTGCACATGCTCAGTTTTCATTGAGTTTCTATGCTGAGCATTTCCTCCCTATCACATCTGAGCAGCCCATGTGACTTTAGAGCCACACATATGGGCATATACACTGTGGTAAATGACAGCCCGCTCCCTCCCTTCTTCTCCATGCCCACTAACCAGCTAAACACAATGGAGATGGGATATTACACATAGATTAACAGAGGCTTTACCTCCCTGTTATTCTAAGACCCAGGCTGAAGGGGTGTGACACAGTCTGTGACTGGCAAAAATCCGTCCACACCATGTCATTGCCAAAAAATAATAAAGCTTTGATTTCAAATCTATACTTGTATGACAATTTAAACAGTTTATTGATATTATTTATTTTTGCCATGCATTCCAAAGGCTATTTTTATATTTTGAACATGTGACAAGCAACAGAGGATTAGAAGCTCTACCTGCTCATTTTTTCCTGAAGACAGGCTGGGAAAGAGCTGGATCATGAGACAGCTGTATATCGATTAGGAAAAAGGTACTTAGATTTTTTTTATTAAAATAATTATATTTCTGTATCCACATACGGAAATAGAAGGGACAATGTAAATTAAACAATGTGTGTTTAGTATCACTTTAAAGTTGAGATCCACCCAAGCCTCAACCAGCAGCTGGTTCCATCTCTCAGTGAGCCACTGAGAGCCTGAGTCAGCTGCTACGACTCCCTCCACAGCCCGATGCTCCAGTGAGCGCTGGAGGGACAGAGCAGAGAGCTGGTGGCTGACAGTCACCAACTCTCTGCTCACTGAAGGCGAGAACTAAGGGATCAGTGTTCTCAGTGTAAAGATTCCTAAACTTCTCTTTTCAGACTTAAGAATTTAGCACCATGGATCTACAGTTAGTCCATTTGTCTTTCTACAGGTGACTTTCTAAAGCTGGCCATAGATGGTTAGCAGTTTGAACAAAAATTCTTAGGAAAATTCATACAAATATTCTCAGAAGATTCATTCTAACATCTGAATGCTGATTAAAAGATTTTGTTTGCTTTTAACAAACGATTTTGGAATGAATGAACTTAACTGAATGAAAACCACGTAGACTGTTGGAAATTCATTTTGAACATGTGACCAGCAGCAGAGGGCTAGAAGCTCCTCCTGTTTATGTTTCCCTGCACACAGGCAGGGAAATATTTTCATCCTGTGCCTTCGAATTTGCCTGTCACTGTGGTTAGAAATGAACATTGATTTGCCCATTAATGATTAGATAAAAAAACAAACTTTCTTTTCCTTAGAATTTTCGTTCCAAATTCTACCCATCTATGGCCAGCTTTAGTCATTTACCAACACGCCAATTTATTGCTTATCATTGGAACATAACTTGATGGTAAGTATTCTATTTTGCAGTCATGTAAGAGATAAAGGTAATAGAGATACTGAAATACTTGAGCTGCCTGCTCACGTGCAAGCAGAACATACTGTATACATTGAAAAGGGTTTATCTATAGTAAAGATGTTGCATCACAAGGTGTGCTTTGCAGAATCTGGATGTAGTTTTTAATATCGGACAGTTCAAGAGGATCCAGGTGGTGTAAAAAGCCAGTAGGGATATTTTGATTAGGGAGAATGCTGGAGGGCAGATTTCCTTTCTGTACTTGGAAATGTATTTGAGGCACTAGCATAAAGACCTCGCTTCTGGCGTTTCTGACTCTACCCCCTCTGATAATGGAAGCCTTACTCCTCAAGCTGCTCTGATCAAAGCCACACTTATCCAAGTGTATTATCTGTAGCGAAGAATAACTAAAAATTTTAGGAAAATATGAGTGATGGTTTATAACCTGCTAGCATCTAACCAGAACATACAACTTTGGGTAGAATGACCCACTTCCAAAAGTGAGGGATTGTCTTTTTCTTAAAATAGTTTTTTATGAAACATAGAAAATCCCATTTCCCTTTGACCCATCGCTGTAGTAACACACCATATCCTTTCTGTAAACAGCAGTGAGCCCCCTAACCCTCTGATGTATGCAATGCCTGGCAGAACAAAGCCTATTCATAAAAGTACAATGGTCGCCTAGGGAATGATTGCATTTTATGGATGTGCCCCAATGGCAGCTTTGGCCATCTAGCAATGATAGCTCCAGGTTTCAGAAAAACCCAGGAGATGTGCAGTTTTCCTGAAATCACCTTTAAAGTATGCTTCACGTTAATTTGTATCCACATGTCTGCCAAATTGCGTCTGTGTGATCTCCAATATGCCAGTTTAAGTAAGCTTCTGTGTAATACAATCTGAAGTGTCCCACTTTGGCCATTTATAATGCTGGAATGTACAGCATGCAGCTGTAAAAAGCAGGTAAGTAAATAATTGTTCCATACTTGCTAGCGAGTCTTCATTTTGCATAAACAGCCTCAATGCACAGAGTAAATTAATGGCACAGTCTCCCATGGCAATCCTCCAATTCTTCTCTTCTTCCTATTAATATTGTACGCTCGGATGTTAAGACTGTTAGACAAGATCCATGCTTGGTGTCTGTATCCTGAGTACATTCATTTTTGTTGTGAGCTGTTTGCTATTAATGAACCATCCAGGTGTCTTGACAGATAAGCCAACAATACCTCAATGCATGTCTCGCATTCTCCCCAAAGCCTTTCTCAGCTCTGCAGTTCCCAGACCTGTTCTATCACAGAGCCTGAAATGTACATGATATCTAGTTATGGTAACATCCTACTCAGCCTGAGACTTTCATCCCTCTGTCATAACTTTTACATTTGGGTTATGCTACACTTATCTATTCACATCCAGCCATGTCAGTCTTTTGTTCACTGACTCATCTATTTCCCTATGAATGTGCAAATAATAACTTATCTTTTTCTGTGCAAAAAATAAAATATTTCTCCCTACTGATGCCTGGATTCATTAACGCATCAGTCACCTCCAAACTGATATTCAGCTGTGGACTGAAGCTAAACCATTGGTTTGTTTAAAGCGAACCTATGCATGTCAATGCTGGGCAAAAAAACAGGTTCACTATAATATTGGTCCTGATATCAGTCTGTAATTCTTTTCCCTTTCGCTACTGCTCCAATTGGCTGATGGGAGCAG